ATATTTAAGCGTTAAGTGTACACAATTATACAATTATAGTTAATGTATATATAACATTTATAAAACCGCCACAACTGCAGCAGCATCTGCGTCCGCCGGTGACCAAAATTATGCTGCTGGCTTCAAACCGATTAACATGGCCAATTAAACAACGTGAAGAATTTGCATATACATTAAGACCGAAAAGTTTTCGGAAATTCTCATTTAAAATTCGCGCGCTGTATATTTTTCGATATTTTAAGTTTATGTAGTTTGGCAGCACTGTCCTTAATTACTATGCCAAAAATGAGCGCGATCTGTCAGACAGTTCGTTTACGGCAGCTGTTGAAACCAGTTCACCTCAGTAGGGCGTTGCGAAAAAAACAATGGAAAAAAATATTGAACAAAGAGTTTGCATCAAATTTTGTGTTTCGAACGAAATTTCGTGTGCAGAATCGTTGCGAATGCTACAAAAGGCTTATGGGGAATCAGTTTTATCGAAAACTCAAGTTTATGAGTGGTACAAAGCCTTCCAGGACGGTCGTACGACCGTCGAAGACATTTCGCAACGCACTACTGAGGTGAACTGGTTTCAACAGCTGCCGTAAACGAACTGTCTGACAGATCGAGCTCATTTTTGGCATAGTAATTAAGGACAGTGCTGCCAAACTACATAAACTTAAAATATCGAAAAATATACAGCGCGCGAATTTTAAATGAGAATTTCCGAAAACTTTTCAGTCTTAATGTATGTGGAATAAAATAAATTTTTATTTGCATTTAAAATAAAAACTATTAACAAATACTGCTTTGCAGTCACACAGGATAATCGTGTTAATAAAGATTTTTATCAACAGTTAACGGATTCATTAATTGAGCAATAAATTTAAGATTTCGTTTAAAAAAGATTTTAAATTTATTGTTTTGGTGCAAGATGTGAATAGAAGAATAAATAGGAATTTAATCCACAACAATCAAATTTTTTATTATATGGAAAGAATTCCATATTTAAATACAAGTACCATAAAATTAAACAGCCTAGCTATGAGTTTCAATACACGTAGCTAGATAAAGCAAAGCAGTTTAGATAAAGTTGTCTATGCACTTCCAACTGTAAAACTACATGGCCTGAAAAAGCTAATAGAAACTCATTTCTGTGTACCAGTTATATAGTTAAAAAATAGCGAAATCAGTTCATAGGTATGAGGCTCAACACGATGGTTGTACCAAGAAATCTAATTTGGAAACCATAAACTAGATTTTAAGTAAATCTTAGATCAAACTATACTTACTCGACGCATCATGAGGATTCAACCACACCACATGTTGGTTCTCAAATCTTCTTTACTATATAAGCTAAAATTTTTCTAACAAAATCTTCTGGCCTATTTAAATTGTATGTGATTAGAGCATATGTTTTTAAGCTTATTTAAAAAGTGTAGTTACACAAAGTTTTATTTTAAGTAAATCTTAGATCAAACTATACTTACTCGACGCATCATGAGGGTTCAACCACACCACATGCTGGTTCTCAAATCTTCTTTACTATATGAGCTAAAATTTTTCTAACAAAATGTTCTGGCCTATTTAAATTTTATGTGATTAGAGCATATGTTTTTGAGCTTATTTAAAAAGTGTAGTTACACTGAGTTTTATTTTAAGTAAATCTTAAATCAATATATACTTACTCGACGCATCATGAGGGTTCAACCACACCACATGTTGGTTCTCAAATCTTCTTTACTATATAAGCTAAAATTTTTCTAACAAAATGATCTGGCCTATTTGAATTGTATGTGATTAGAGCACATCTTTCTGAGCTTACTTAAAAAGTGTAGTTACACTGAGTTTTAAAAGTAATATTTTTCATATTAATTTTAATGTTAATATATAATATTCAAATAATTAATAAAATAATAAGCTTCTATTCTACTGTTCGAAATACCTCTCTATTGAAAACAATTGTTTATATTAAGAAATTTAGTTTCTTTCGTCAAAATGAACGCTAAAAATCAATTTAATAATTTTTTAATTAATTTTAAATAGTCCTTTAATTAAGTTAAGTGTTGAAATTCTGATTAATTATCTTCATAACATTTTTCATGTTTAGTCCTGTAATCGAAAAAAAAAACAAAATTTTCTTTGACTATTTTCAGCATCCTTGACTTGATCCGTGACTTTGATGAGCTCTCTTAGCTTCCGTTCGTTTGACATGTATTAAATAAACTGGAAGAAAACTACGAGGATAAAAGAGATATTTATCCATTCAACTTCGTTCTCTAATGAAGTTAACATTTGTGTTTATAACACACGAATTGACGAAAAAGGAAAAACTGCTGTGCCGGAAAAATTTTTTCACAAAAAAAGAAAAAGAAAAACATCAAGGACTTAAGTACTCATTCAAGCTTGTAAATGCGTAAAAAGTCAAGCAGGAACACTTCATACAAAATAAATAAAGGATATGCAAAAAAACAAGAAAATTCTTTAGCGAAAGGATACCAAAAATATTTCAGTTCCGTTATCAGAAATCAACAAGTAACGATAGCAAATCGAAACCCAGCCAAGAATCCCTTAACTTCACATGCCAATACGTTGCGTGTGTGTGGGTGCAGCAAGGACACAAATGTGTGTCCTGTGTGTGCACGTATTACATATGTATATTCGTATTTGTGTACTAAATTGACCTTATTCACTTTTCCCATTGAATTATTTATGTTTAATATTCCAACATATGCCAAGTGCACATTGAGGGGAGGAATAATATTCATACAGTGGGCAAGGTGTCCTTGCCTGCTGAAGAACATGTGAGGACGTAAACATACCAGTTTGGTTGAGGAAAACCATTCTTCTGTTTCAATTTATGTTTTATATTAAAATTCCTTAAAATTATGATTTTATAGCTATGCATTGACCGACAGCATACATACATTAGACAACTTTGTATCTTTCCACTTTCTGCCTTGTGCGACCACTGTATCTATAAGTCCGTTTGTTTTAGAAATTCTCAACGTTTATTTTGATTTGAATTTGAAATTCATTGAATTTTTTCCTCCCATTATCTGCTTTTACTTTTTCAGTTCGTTACTTTTTGAGTATTGTATTTCGTTCTCTTATTTATTTTCCTTTGAGTATTTTTTCATTTTTTCATCACATTTCCATATGTTTGCTTAACTAAATTTTTATTTGCTTTCCCTCGCAATTTGTTTTATTTATGTTGGCATTGTTGAAGTGATTCCACGCGTCCGATATGTAAACAAATCCTGACCGAGAAAGGAGGAGGAAAAGGTCATGCAGGTTTTTATTCATTTTTCCTAATTGGATTTTGTGTGGGTGCTTCATTTCCGATTTTGTTAGTAGAATTTCTGATTGAGAACTCTTAACAAATCTGGTCGTTTCGTGAATCCAATTGCTTATAAAAATTTAAACCTTAAACTAGGCTCATGAAGGATATGGTAGATGGAAACATTAATGCTTAAATTGATGGTGTAGAAACTAGAAGACTTTGTTGAAGTTAATAATTAATATTTAATAGAATCGTACTTATCTTACTAATTTTAGAAACTTGTTAAACTAAAAACTTCGAATACGAAAAGATATTACTTTGTAAAGGATTGATTAATATGTAATAAGTATATGTAATCCACCTAACTTTTTTGACAAAATTAATAAATAAATTTGAATACAGACATTAATGACCAAATATTAAAATAAAATTAAAGAAATGTCCTTAATGTCTTAAAGATCTTCTACATCATTTAAATTGCATATCGAGAATATGCTAGATTTTGCAGATTTCCAACCCAAGAAATTTTGTCAAGAGATATTGTCAAGGAAATTGATATAATTTTATAAATTGAATGAATCAGCGAATAATATATTCTAATATAATATCTTTATAGTAGAAGTCTTGTATTAATATATTCGAACAGTACCTTCCTGATATGTTGAACATATAACAGTATTTAATTCAGCTACTTTATGATTTAAAAAATATAAAAAAGGAATCACAATTATTACCTAAAAATTGTTAATTAAATATCAATATACAATAATACATGATTGAATCAATGCAAAGTATGTGTGAAATTTGATAAACACAATATATTAACTTCGAAATATTCTCAAGGGCTTCCGAAAAAAATTGACAAAAAAAACTACGCCTCAGTTTTCAAACCCGGTTTACGTCTTGACATTCATCCATTTCTCAAAAAATTGGCAGCATACAACAATGATATAGGCGAAATAGCAAAAGTGCTGCTATAAGTTAATATTAAACATGGTATAAATAGTCTCTTAAAAGAAATGAACACGTCTCAAGAATTTCAAATTATATATTATATGACCAAGACTAACTTTAAAAAAGAAGAGACTAAATTTGGAAATAAGTTCAAGTAGTAAGCAGAATAAAATCATTAACAGTAAGTCAGGTAGAGCTCATTCTACACTCTAATTGGATTAATAGGTATTGAATTAAAACTTTTGATGAAGAAGAAGAAAGTAGAAAATACAACTTGTTCAATATATCAGAGATATCGGTGTTGAAGAATTTTCAGTGGAACAAGCGGAAAAATCAATTTACATAACATATGTTTTAGAACTAGAAGTAGATACCATGGTTTACGTGGACTTTCAAATATGTTTGATACTGTTATGATTGTAGCATATACTGATACTGAACCATATCAGAAACATTTTTATTTCAAGCGTAATAAACATATCAATTCAACATTTCTCGATATTAATATCGTTGTCAAATGTAAGCTATATACATTCAAAATACATTGACACTACCTAATAGATACGTTTTATTGCTATATTCTCTATAGGTAATTTTAGAAGATTTTGTGCAAAATAAATGTTCGGAACAGTGAAGTCAAATCTTGGTGCATATAGATAGATCAACACCTCTTAGCCTGTTTTCGACCAGGTGTTTGGTACTCAATATAATAGAATATATAATATGGAAATTATGTCCTAAGTCATTGTTACAATGATTCTGCATAAATATATAAACACTATAATTATTATTGCTCGAATTTTATTAAAGATATGCCAAACTTTTGTAATAGAAATTCTAAGGAAATTTGGTCTATGTTACCATAGTTCCAACACTAATTAATTATTATAAACTCTGCTTCATTGAAGTATTTTGTTGGGGTTTCTCTCTTAAGTCCTTTTTTAAAAGCAGAATTAATCATGCGTTAAGTTCCACTGCACAACCCCATCGATTTACTCTTTTTTGTTCTGTCACAATGCCCCGAACTGCATTTGCTTCGTATACTAATAAATCCAAGTCAGCAGAATCGATCCAATAACTAATATATAGAATCATTAAGCAAGCAACTTAAGTAATAAAATATAATTACATTTCAAGCCAAAGTGTCCTTTACGGAAACAGAATTCCACACTCTCAAGCTAGTAACTCTCAGATGTGACGTTAAACTGGAACTAGTGAAACTCGATTTTAGATAGAAGGAATATTTTTATTGGTGTGTGTGTTGGAATATACCATATACTTACTTTCAACCTTTGATATTTTACCGATTCAATAAAAATCTTAAAAAAATAATCACAGTTTATGTGACAAAAAGGTTCCAAAACAACTGAAATCGTCATTGATGCTGTAGAAAATTATAGTAAAATTATGAACAGTTATGAGAGGGTCATAAAAATTACCTATATTTCTTTATATGGATACTAATAATCTGATGTCCTTTTACTTTTTCACTGCCCACTTAGATTACTATTACTGTCTAAATTCGATAGTGCCCGATGGAATACTAAAATATTATGATATGGAATACCAGATTGTTTTGAATACTAAAAAGCTTGCCTCTGATTAAATGGTTCGGTTGCTACTCTTTCTGGGTAACATCTGAGGAACAAAGTCAAGTATGCATACTATGAGGTCGCCGATTTTTACAACAGGCAAATTTGATGAGCAGAGTACATGTTCTTGTTACATAAAGTCAAAATCAAGACCAATTGTCATTATTTCCTTGAAATCCAATTACCTAGAAAAAAAATTTGATTCATGTCAAAAATTGTGCATAAGAAGAATATCTTGAAAAAAAATTTTTTTTCGGAGATTCAGGTACTTACATTTTCATAACTATTGAGCGGTATAAGTAGGTATATACATTATTAACTGAAAATCGTGTTAGAAATAATTATAAAAAAAATAATTTCTACTTCTTAATGCTTAAGCACTTACCAAGAATTCTTAATAAGAGTATATTGTATCTCACATTTATATTTTTTTTACATACATATATGCACTTCTATTCACTTTTTCATTTCATAAGCTTTTATTCATTTTAATAGCACTGGAAATATATTTTGTTTAATTAGTAGTTTTACATTTTCTTCATAGTTTTAAACGACATATCGCCTTTTAAGTTTCGTATACTAAACTGCGATCTTGAGCTATATTTTGTACACAAGTTTTCATTATAAATACATTGTAATTTTAATTTTTATTTGGAATAATAATTTTGAGTAACGTTTGCCAAAGGGGAATTTATTTTAACTAAAACACAAAAAGTTTTGACTTGGTATATAGTTTATTTGAAAAATTTATAAGCCCACTAGATATAAAAACTTTTATACCGTGTAGATTTATTGGAATGATATGGTTTAGTATTTGTAGTGAGTATGTACTGTTAAGCATATGTTAGCCGTATTATATCCTCTTAAAATTTCGTACTCTTACAGATCCGGAAAAATGAATTTATTAATCAAAAGAAAGAAAGTTTCCTATTGAAATAGGAATTGTTCAAAGAATTTGTTACATCCTGAAAGACATCCCTGTCGATGATCTTAAACACTTATTTCACTTGACTTAAAACAGTGGTTTCCAACCGGTGGTCCGTGAGATGATTAAAAATAATCTGTGAATCAGATACGTTATAGTTCACTCAGCTTGTGGTTTATCTATTGAGACCTCATTTTTTAGAAAACAAGCACAAAAAATGTCCAAGAAAATATACACCTATTTTATAGCCTATGTAATGTTCATATGCACTTATGCAATTCCTTACACCAGAGATGCTTAAAGCATATTAGAATAATCATACAGTTATTATTCCTAAACTATGTGGTCCCTATGTATATAGGTTAGCTTCTATGTTATATAGATTAGCTTTTAAATAGCATAAGTTTGAATTTGTTTCACAAACTTAACTAAGAATTGTATCGAAAATGGTAACATGTGTTTTAATATTAATATTGAATTGTTCTTATATTATATTGAATTGATGTCTCCAGTTGTCTCTATGTGTTGATCGCTGAAACCTGCACATTACTATATAACGATGGAACACCATTGACAGTTGTCGAGAGAAAAGTTCTTCGTAAGATACTTGTTACTCCACGAGTTGGCGACGACAACCGCAGCCGAATAAACCTGTTCCTGTTCGAGCTGCACCACAATATTTATATAACTCAGCGTATTAACATCCAGCATCTTCGTTGGCTTAGTCATGCCTTGAAAATGAATGAAGTAGCTCCACCAAAAAGTTATTTATAGCGGTAGTTGGAGAAAGAAGGTGTAGAGTTAAACCGTGTCTTCGATGGAGTGATTAAATTGAGGGAGCGCTGGATGTATGAGAATGGAGATAACACGAAAGCTGCAGACGCCCCTGGAGCGATATGCTCTGTCAAGCCGAAACTTGGTAACAGCTTTATGTGTTAATATGGATTTTTTTAATTAAGCGACGATATAAATAAATTCACAATTATTTTAGACAATTTTTGGTAAAGACAGAAGATTCATTTAATGTAATCGCAGGATAGTCTTCAGCATAAATTCTTCTGTTTGGCATAAGTCTAATGTTAACGAGTTATGTTGCATTTATAAGTTCAAATCAAATCCAAATATAAGTCCAAATCAAAACAAACTACTTAGATTGTTTTTATACTAAGTTGGAATTTTAAGAAACAATATATATAAGTTTTTTATTTAGATAAAGTCAACTTTTTTTAATTTTCTACATCACCAAAACTTATTTTTTCCAATGAGAAATTCGTTCTTTATTATACAGTTCTTAAAGAGAAATGACTTTCACTTCTTAGCATTAGAGTTGGTTATTGAAAAATGTTGCTTCTTTATTTATATCAAATATTCTATTGACTATCTTGTTTATGGCTAAGTATAAGAAAAAGTTCAACTTGTCTTATAATTCCAAAATAAAACATGTGTTAACACTCTTCTGATGGAAAGAGGTAACTTCTATTTGCTTTGGTATGAACTCAGAGTATCAAATTCTTTGAAAAAAGTATTTTTGTTTTATAAGTTTGAAAATATTTTTATAACTCAAGATTATTTATTGTTTGTCGTGTTTATTATAATGACTTCAGTGCCTTTAGAATAACGAAAAATGTGAAGTTTTAAAAGGTGCAACCGCCAAAAATATAGACATCAACCGGCAATAAATTTAGTCCATTTCACTTATGTAAATGAATTCGAAAATATTTTTAATCCGATGTTATGTAAATGCGATGAAAATTTAAATAATTTAGGTTGCATCTATAATTCCACAAGTTTAGGAAATAACACTTTGCTCTCTGGATTCCTAGGGCGCGCGGCACCGACGAACGTCGGGTCATGCGTGTAAGTCGACTTAAATAAGTGGTTAAGCACATTAACAAGTGTGTTTTGTCTTGTATTGGGATGTGCTCTGCTGTGCTGTGCTGACCAATGAAGGAAACTCAATATTTTTGGCAGCTTATAAAGGCAAACCATTGTATCTCTCGGTTATGGTTATGGTTATGACTATGGTTATTGCTGTGCTGATAGCGGCCTAGTTCTGATGCCTTTGTCTCTTTTGTTGAATAATTTCGAATAGTTATACACGTATAGTATCTTTATAGCAATTAAAAAAAATTTTTTTTTTTATTTTCTTTATACCCAAAAGGTAAATTATTTCATTAAAAACTTTTCACATTTCTTTTGTGCGATGAATGAATTAATTAATTTTGCTGAAAATTTCTGTACTGCAAGTATCTCAACAAAATGCGTATCTATTAATTGTATGCGTAGCTTGTATCTTTCCCTTGCTGTGTGCTGCCTCATGCAGCGGGTGTAATTGCTCCATTGCCGCTGGGCTTACAAACTCATTTGAGACGCGTTGCCAGCACTAATTGTTTCTGATAATAAATCAGCTTTTATGTCTATTTTTATATAGGAATTTATATGCATTTAAACGCCGGCTGATAAGGTGGTGGAAATTATAAATTATGTTTATTAATTTATTATGTTAATAATCATTTCTTTATTATATATTCGTCTCTCTTTTTAATTTTGTTAAAATTTAATTTTATTAAAATTTATGAGCTTAAACTAAAAATCCTGCTTTTGTTTCCAGAGTCATAATTTTGATTTTTATCAATTTTATTTTAAAAATTATTTTTGCATTAAACAGTTTTAATATATTTATATATATTTTTTTTGTACTTTTTGTAGTCATTCTGGTATATTTAGTGGATAATTAAACTCCACACGTAACCACATCAAAGAAGTCTGTGACTTAGCTTTGCATACAGTGTCTTTTGAAGTGCAGTATAATTATATTTGAAGCTAGTCACCACGGTTGGTTTGTGGCAAAATTAAGTCATTAAATAATGTTCCACCTTTAGTTTCCGCTGGTCATTTATTAAGCCACTAAACTGGTCCCTTTGTAAATAGCAAAATAACAACTGAAACTGACATTAACTAATGTGCCATAGTCAGTACCACCTGTCAAGTCCGCCACATAACCCTGCCACGGATCTTAAATTTTCCGTCTGCTTATGTTTTATTAACTATAATTGGTCGGAAGAATATTTTACAATTATATTTTACTTATTATAAATGTAACTTAATCTAATTTATTCCTAATTGCCCCCTTAATTGCACTATAACTGCAACTAATATGTAATTATAACTAAAGTTATGACTTTTTGTATTGATTTTTAGTGTTAAACTAATTAATTTCGGCAAATTTTGCAAATATTGAAATTAAATCCCATGAGTGTAAGCTAATTCATTATTCCTAATAAATTTTATGTACATTTTTAAGAGACAGTCAATTTTTAAGAGCTGATTAAAACAAAGTATCTAACCAAATAAATTGTTTATATATTTTTTTAAATCATAATATATTAATATAATGGCTGGAAAGTGCATCTCATTATGTTTAATATTTTTATTTGTACTTAAATTTTATTTTTTTAAATTTAAATATTATTTTTTATTTTATTTTTCTATTTAATTTTTATTTGTTTTTTGTTTTTTTTTTGTTTTTTAGTGCTTCAAAAAATTATTATTTCCTATTCTTAATTTTTATATTTTAGAGAAAGGACTACAAAATTTTAAAAAGAACGAGTGAAGTAATATTTAAATTCATTTTTTACATGATTTTTAAAGTATAATTTTTCCGAAGTTATTTTTACACAATATATAATAATAAAACAATAGACGCAGTGTCACGTACTGAGTAATCAACAAATCAATGCAAAAAAATTTCCTCATATATGAGACAGTCCAATCAGTCATTCAAAAATATGCTCATTTTTAATATATCTGAATCCATTTAGTAACACATAAAACCTATGAACGTCATATTAAAGATTAATCTGCTGAGTTGACTAAAGTTTTCTATGAAAGTAAGGCTAAACATTCGTCATAGATGCATGAGGTCCAGAGTTCAATTGAAACTAATTAAGATAAATTAAAAAAATTGAAATATACCATTTGTAAAATATGTAGTATAAAATACTTAGTATTTTATCTATTTTGAATATATAATAGTTCTATCACTTGAGTTCAAGCCACCGCGGTGAGTGTTGCAATGGGTGGAATATCATAAAAAAATTAGGGCATATGTATTATAATGCAAGTAGGTGTTATAGACTGTGAAATATAATAAAAAATTTAGGACATATGTATTATAATGCAAATATTTAGTACACTGAATTTTAACTTTCTATCTATCATTATTTGAAGGTTAGTATGGAAATGTAAAAATGAACCATGTTTGGGCCCAAATTTGGTACCCAATTGAGCCCAAATTTGGTAGGCCAATTGAGCTCAAATTATATTCAAAAGGAAGGTCATTTCAATATCTCTGCTTGTTCAGGAAATACAGAATTTTGAATCGCCTAATTTCTGATACACTGTACACCGTCAGTACTAGTTAAGATATTGTATAGGGTGGGCTATATTCAGTTAAGCCAACACTTCACTGGCAACACTTTTAATTTAATGAGGTGAATAATTTAATGCTGTGCAGCAATACACACCAGTCGAACGTACTGATTACAAGAAAAATTTTTGACAAACAATCATTACAAGTGATGAGGCGCATTTCTAGTTAAACGACCCCGTAAACAAATAAAATTTTCGATTCAACGCAATAGAAAACTCTCAACTCATGAAAAAACAGCTTCTTACTGCCAAAAAGTGACAACGTGGTGCAAAATTTGTGCTGATATTATGATCGGACCATATATTTTCAACACCGTCTTCAACTTT